TCATCACGGGCCAGCCCTTGAAGAAACTCTGATGTCATTAAAGTAGGTAGTCAGCAACCTTCATCTGTCTCCAGCACTTCCTCTTCTCCAGTCTCTCCAGGTGGCCCCCCTAGAATCATGATGGGGGCAGGAACGTAAGAAATCTTTTTTCTCTCCCTGCTTTTCTTTGTGGCTGTGGAAAATAGGAGCGGATGATCAGATATTGAATCATAATTCACACTCCTGTCTTCTTCCCTTCGGTTCTCATGCCTAGGCTTTCTTATGGTGGGATGGGGATGCTAATCAGATTGCCTGCCTCTTGGAGTTATTGTACTACGTGAGTTTCAAACTCTCAGACTAGTGCTCGGACTACAGTATGTTGCTGCCAATACCCGTTTGCTCTAAAGTATCATTATCATCAGGACTACACATCTATTCTGACAGCTGTCTAACTGGGGTACAAACTGATTGAAGTACTTCGTTATGGGGACCGTGTTTGTGCCTTCTACTCCCCCAAAAGGTAGCTGAAATAAGGCGTGGTATCCCTATCCCCCAGGTCACCATTCTGAGCTGGGAGGCCTTGGGTGAGTGACTGAGGTGATGAATGTAGGTAAATGAGCTCAATGGTGAGTCTGACTGGTAAGGGCTTACTGTGATTGTGAGTGAACGGCTCCCAAGGGGTTTCTTGGCTGTCATCTCTATGGAAGAACATCAGCAGGGCTTTCTTCAGCAGAGTTGCTGGGCGGGTTCAAACTGTCAACCTTTAGCTCGGCAGCCAATCGCAAACGCCCTGGCACTGCCCAGGCTCAAGAGTGCCTTAACTTGGTCCATTTTATCTGAAAACCTTTAAGGTTGGACTTGAATGCGGTGTCTTCATCTGCTGTGGCAGTTGAGTAGGCAAGCCTTTTGGATGAAACAGGTCTGTCATTTCCCGAGAGTCAGGGACGTTCCCCGGTCACTTCATCCATCTCTTGTGCTCACCGCTCATGTCTGGCAGGTGATCTCCAAACAGGCGAGTTTGTGTGCAAGATGCAGACACCATCATTGCATTACTCTGCCAAGGTCAAGTGAAGGAGTTCTCGTAATATGTGCGATACAGAAAGGGTAGTCCTTACCTTTAAGTCTATTTTACTTTTTGAGAAATAGGTATATTTTACATGTATGTTACTTTCCAGACAACTATCTGAGGGATAAGAAAAGAACACTGTGGATGTGAGCGAAGCGGCATTACCTGTCCAATGTCCAGTGAAGTTCAGGGCGTGCTGCAAGCTGAGGCTCAGAACCCTGACCGCCAGCTCTGCCAGGTCCTGGAAGGCAGTGCTGGCCGCTTAGCCTGGCAGGGAGCTCGCCGATTAGTTCTGCGGTGAAGGCAGCAATCTGCTTAAGCCTGGGTCTCTTTTTCTTTTTCTCATTTTCTTTCGGTCCTTGGTCCCTTTCCCAAGTCTCCCTCTAGGGTAACACTGCAGTTGG